TTTCCCCTGCCCCCCCTATTCCTCCTTCCTTTTTTCCCTTTCTCCCTGTTCCTCTCCTCCCCTTTTTTTTTCCCTCCCTTATTTTTCCTGTCCCCCCCCTTATTTCGTCCTGCGTCTTTTTGTTTTGTCTTCCCTTTTGTTTTCCACCTTCCTTCTTCCCCCTGTCCCTCCGCGTACTTTTTTTTTTTTCTTCCTTGATTCCCTGTCCGTTCCTCTTTCTTGTTTTTGTTGTTAACCCCTTGACTCTTCCCCCTTACTTAGTCCTTACTTTTAAACTGTTCGCTTTCCCTTCTTTTTTTCCTCCCTCTCTCCCCCCTCTCTTCCTTACCTCACCCCCTATTTTTTCCCTCTCCTTCCCACCCTAATTCTTCCCCCTTTTTCGTTTCTTTCTACTGTTTCCCTTTTTTTTTTTTCTCTTTTCTTCGTCCCCTATCCCCTTCTGTCTTTTTTTTCCCTTTTTTTTTTGTCCCTCCTTTTCTTGCGTCTTTCTCCCCCTTCCTTTCTTTATCCTTCCCTTTCTTGTTCCCTTCTGTACTTCCTTCTTTCCCTCTGTCTTTTTTCGTCCCACCCTATTACCCCCCCCCTCCTTTCCTTTTTCGCTTACCCACCCCACCCTTTTTTCTTTTTTATCCCTCGTTCCCCCCCTTCTTCTTTCTCTTTTCCTCCCTTTTCCCCTTTTTTTCTATCTTTCTTTCTCTTTCCCCCTTCCTTTTTTTTTTTCACTTTTCTTTTTCCACCGCCCTCCTTTCTTCCTTTCTTTTTTCTTTTTTCTTTTTTCACTTTTCTTTATTTCTCCATTTTTTTCTATTTTTTTCTCTTTCTTTTTTTTTGTCTTTCCGCTTTTTTCCCTTCTAACCCTTCCCTCGTTGTTCGCTTTTTTTCTTCCACTTCTATTTCCCCCCTTTTCTCTTTCCCTTTTTCGTCTTCCTTTTTGTACCCCCTCCTTTCCCTTTCACCTTTTCGCTTTTTGTTTTCCCCACCTTCTTTCCCCCCTTCCCCCCTTTTCCTTTTCTCTTTTTTTTTTTTTTCCCCTCTTTTTTCCTTTGCTCTCTTTTTTTTTTCCCTCTGCTGCCTTTTTCCCCCCCTTACCTTTTACCTCCCCTCTTCTTTTTTTCTCGTCCCCCTATCTTTTCCTTCCCTCACTTCCTCGCCTCCCCTTCTTCTTTTTCCCTTTTTCTTCCCCTTTTTCCCTTTTTTCTCTTACCCTCTATCTTCGTCCCCTATTTTTTTTGATTTTCCTTTTTGATTTTTCTCCCCTCCCCTTTGCCCCTCCCCTTCGTCTATATGCGTCTACCCCTTTTTTCCGTCCCCTTTTGTCGTCCGTGGTCCTTTCACTGCCTTTTTTTTTCTTGTCCCCCCCTTTACTATTTTTTTTTTTTTTTTACCCCTCCCCCCTTCCCCCCCCTTCTTCTTTCTTTTTTGTTCCTTTTGTCCTTTCCTGTCCACCCCTTTCCTTTCACCCCCCTTGTCCCCTATTTTTTTCCTTATTTTCCCCTCGTCTTTTTTTTTTCTCTTCCCCCTTTTGTTGTTCGTCTTTTTTCCACCTGCGTTTCTCCTGGCCCTTCTCCCCCCCGGCCGGCGGCCTTGAGCTTGAGGTCAAGCTGACTGGCATAGCGAATACCATGGCGTTGATGCCGGGCGAAAAACCGGTGTACGGCACAGAGATCGCGCCGCAGCTGAACGCTCCGTATCACCAGCACATATTCAATGCACGACTGGACATGTCCATGGACGGACAGAACAATTCCGTGTACGAGGTGAACACGAAACGTGTGCCCCGAGGAGAGCAGAATCCGCACGGAAACGCTTTCATCACCGAGCATGCCCGCTTCGAAAGCGAAGAAGACGCCGGACGTAACTGCAATATGGCAACGAGCCGTTACTGGAGAATTGTCAACGAGTCCGAAACCAACAGGATGAATGAACCCGTAGCCTACCGCCTACTTCCGGGCGAGAATGCTCTCCCGTTCGCGCACGACGACGCGGCGGTCATTCAACGGGCAGGCTTCCTGACCCAAGCACCTCTGGGTCACTCCTTACGAGGAGGGTGAGAGGTATGCCGCTGGAGATTATCCCAACCAGAGGCGGAAAGGCGATGGTCTGCCTGAATGGTCGGCTGCTAACCGACCCATCGCCGACACCGATGTCGTATTGTGGTACACGTTCGGCCACACACATATTCCCAGGCCGGAAGACTGGCCGGTTATGCCTGCGCACCGAATTAGTTTCATGTTGAAGCCGGACGGCTTCTTCCACTCGAACCCGGCCATGGATCTCCCTCCGTCCGACAGTGCCTGCAATTGCGGGCATGAAGGCGAGGCATGTTCTTGCGACCACTCCAACGGTCACCACGGATGCGGCTTCTAGCGAAAATATGCGTCTGGAGGGCCAAGTCGCCCTGATCACAGGTGCCGCGATGGGTGTTTGTGGTGAACCGATGGGCATAGGCGGAGCTACGGCATGGTTGTTCGCTCGCGAGGGCGCGAAGGTCGCGCTCTCCGATCTGAACGAAGACAAGGGGCGAAGATCCGCCGACCAGCTTCGTGATCGAGGCTACTCGGCTATCTTCGTCCCTCTTGACGTCGCCAATGAGGAAAACTGGATTCGCGCGGTCAGTCAGACGGTGTCCGCCTTCGGTAGGTTGGATCTTCTTGTGAACGGTGCTGGCAATGTGATCGCGGGCGGTATCGAAGACTCGACTCTTGAGGCGTGGGATAGCCTGATGGCTGTCCACGCCAAAGGTCCGTTTCTTGGCACCAAGCACGCGGTTCCGGAAATGCGCAAAGTCGGTGGCGGCTCCGTTGTCAACGTATCGTCAATCGATGGCCTGCATGGAACCAGCATGGGAGCGGGATATCCAGCTGGCAAAGCGGCAAGTCGACTCTTCAGCAAGTCGGCCGCTCTCCAATATGCGCAAGAGAAACATCAGGGTGAACTCGATTCATCCGGGATACGTAGAGACACCGCTGAGCAGGACTATCGCCAATTGGTCCAATGGCCCAACACTGGAAGAGCTTAAAGCCAGGAGAGTCAGCAGAGTGCCTATGAAACGAGAGGCATCTCCAGAGGAACTAGCTTATGCCATCTTGTATCTGGCATCCGATGATTCCTCATATGTGACTGGGTCCGAGCTTGTGGTCGACGGGGGCTTTTCCGCTCAGTAACTTGCAGTTCTTGGGGCCTCGCCTTGAGTGCAAGACCTGCCGAGGCCGGCCTGTCGCCCGCCGATATACGATTACCAGGGACAATAGGAGTGAAGACTGTGAAACCCTCCGACGTTCGCAAGTTGTTTCCCATTATGGACCAGCGGGCATATATGTTCAGCGGGGGTGTCGCGCCTCACTCCACGCGGAGTCTTTCGGCGCTAGATCGGTTTAACGACTTGCTCACTAACGATCCGGGGGAACTGTACAGGCGCAACCGTGAGGAATTTAATGTAGTGCGCAAGCTCTTCGCCGATCTCATAGGGGCCGACGTTGATGAAGTTGCGGTCACGGACTGCACTGGAACCGGTTCTAACCTCGCTGTTGAGTTGATCGACCCAGTCCCAGGCAGCAACGCGGTGTTCGATGAGTCGGCCTATCCGTCTGCTGCCTACCCTTGGGATGCTGCCGTCCAGGTCGCATGTAGAGCTCCGATTTGTTGGTGGGCGTGACGGAGTTATCCACTTAGAGGACATGGCCGAGGCCATTGACGACGATACTATTGCAGTCAGTGTATCGCATGTCTCTCAGGAGTCGGGATTCAGACACGATCTACGTGCCTTGGCGGAAATAGTCCATTCACACGGGGCCGTCCTATCTGTCGACGCTATGCAGTCTGCGGGAGCCCTGAACTTCGATGTTCACGAGGAAGGAATCGACTTCCTTTCTACAGGCGCCATGAAATGGCTGCTTGGTTCAGCTGGCGTCGGGTTCTTTTATGCTCACAGAAGCCAACTGGACAAGATGCCGCCACACGCTGGAGGCCCGGGGCTCAGTCGGACTGCCAGGCCCTGGGGACAACGAGAGTTTGTTCCTCTGCCTGGGGCGGACAGGTTCCACGTTGGTATGCCTAACCTGATTGGTTTGGCGGCCACTCGGCCCGGTTTGGAGATTCTTCATGATGTTGGGATGGACGTGGTCGAGGCGCATGTGCTGGACTTGTCAGGCTACTGCATAACGCAGCTCCTTGAACGGGATCTCACGTGAGTCACGCGGGCGAGCAACCTCCGGGCAGTAGGCATGAGTCCTCAATCGTATGCAGAATGACGAAGATGCGCGGCTTGCCGACGAGTTCCTGATGGAACGGCGAGTGGACGCATATCATCATCAGAGCGTTCTGAGGGTCGATCCGCACGTTTTCAACAACCGGGACGACATTGACCGTTTCTTGAGAGAACTTGACTCATACCTTTCACAACGCTAGAACCGTCGAGGTCACATAATGGTTGAGAAATCCCGAATTGGAATCGTCGGTTGCGGAGACCACCAGCAACGAGCGCTAATGCCACAGCTGGCGACAGTGGAACAGGCTGAGCTAGTAGCATCACAAAACACACACAAACAACACAACACAAAAACCAAAACACCCCCAACAAACACACACAAACACCCACCCACCCCCCCCACCCCCCCACCACCACAACCCCCCCCCCAACCCCCCCCCCACCCCCCCCACCCCACCCCCACCCCCACACCCAACCCCCCCCCCCCCCCCACCACCCCACCCCCCCCCCCACCCCCCCACCCCCCCCCACCCCCACCCCCCACCCCCCCACCACACACACAAAACCAACAAAAAACCACAACACAACACCCACAAACAAACAACCCACCCCACACAAACAACACCCCAACACCCCCCCCCACCCCCCCCACCAACACCCACCCCACAGAACCGACCTCCCACCACCTCTCCCGTCACTCTCACCTACTCCTCAACGCGGCCCCGCCGACGTTCTCCCGCTGACATTGACGAAGTTGCCGCCGTCACTGCCAGCAATCAGTTTGGATTCCAGCGCCCCTATATCGACTATAGGGACATGCTAGATAGCGAAGAGCTGGATGGCGTCATGAATACGACGCCTCACCACTTGCTCAAGAGTGACCGCGATAGACGCGATCGAGTCGGGCTGCAACGTCTTCATCGAAAAGCCGATGGGCGTGAGTGTCCAGGACGGCCTACGAGATCGTGATGCCGCTCATCGGGCTGGTGTCAGCGTGATGGTCCGCTCCTACTGCCTGCTATGTACGCTGAGGGCCGCACGTAATCATGAAGTCGCTCATAGACTCCGGGGCCATCGGCGCACATCACGAGCGATCAATGCCGTAAGGGAACTTCGCACGCTCCCCTGGACGAGTGCGGATCCGAGGTCAGACAAGGCGAGTGCGTGCTCTGCTCTGGTTGGGGGGTCCACATCACGTGACCAAGGTGCTGTGGATGGCCGTTTCGGAACTGCACTCGCGTGTACGGGGAGTGTCCCCAATCGCCACACGGACGACCGTGTTGACCAGACTCCGCGTTCACTCTCACGTCTCGCCACGATGTGACTCGCGCATGCTTACGTGCTCACAGAACGTTGGGGGTAGAGTCGGCTTCGACTACATTGAGGTGATGGGGACTGCCGGCCGTATCAAGAGTGAGTGGCCGTCCAACATCATCAACGTGGTTAGCGAAACGGTCGAAGAGTACCGCCACCCCACGCTAATTGTGCCCCCTGAGCCTAGGGCTTATGTTGAAAAGATGTACCGAGACGAGTTGGACTCGTGGGTGCGATCCGTCAACCAGCGTACTGATCCGCCGATCACGGTGGACGACGGGCGTGAACGTACTCGAGTCATCAGCGCGGTCTTCGAATCTGGGAAGTCCAACTCGCCGGTGACGCTACGCTAGGACTCCTCGCCTGTTAACAGCCTGCGCGGATTATCCACCATGATCGTCTTGAACTGATCTGCGGTCAGGCCTATCTCTTCGCTGAGGACTGCGAGTCCCTGGGTGGACAGAAAGTCGTAGCCGCCCCCGCCATAGATTGTGTAGTCGGTGTTGTAGCAGACGTCGTGCGAGAAGACAGGTTTCTGATCAGCCCCTCATCTATAGCCCACTTGATCAGGCCTAGCGTCCGGTTCCGCTCGTAGTCGTTTCCGGTCTTCAGGCTGCCCATCCGGTCGAATGATATGTACGCCCCCCTACGAGCGATCTCCGCATGGTACTTGTGCCGCGGATAGCCGCCTGAGTGGGCGACTACAACGCGGCTGAGGTCCACGCCCTCCTGCTCGAGTACGTCCAGTTGGTCTAGGCCCTGCGGACCTCGAGTAGCGTGCGTTCCGAGCGCGACTCCTGTCTCGACCTGTGCCCGGGCAGCCGCTCGGAGTACTCGCTCTTCGATCGCCGACAACCAGTTGAAGTGCGCGCCGATCTCTCCGATGAAGCCCGCCCGCACGTCTGTACCGTCAATTCCCACACTGACGTCTTTGACAATCTCGTCGGCAATGTCATCTGTGCGCATCCGCCAGAGGCGCTGCTCGTAATAGGTCTCGCGATACCAGCCACACCCGAGAATGATGTTCAGTCCCGTCTTCTCGGACATGTCCCTGATGGCGTTGGCGTGCTTGAGATGATTGAGGTCCTCATCGAAGAGCAGGTCGTGGTCGTTCTCCCTGAGGCCTCCGGAAGTCTGGTCGACCAGAGTTATCCGCCGGCGTTCTTGTAACGCATCAACTCCATCTCAGCCAGCACCGGGTCGTTCATGTAGTTAGGGCCGACCCAGGCATCTGGCAAGAGGTCCAGGTAGATATGCTCGTGAACTAGCGTGAATCCAAGCTCGTCCGCCGATATCGGCCCAGTTACTGTCATTACTTCGTTTGCCAATGTATTCCCTCCATGAGAGATGACTAGTTCGAGGTCAGATTGTCCCGCTTGACGCTGGCTCGGCCTACAACCGACGTGCCAGTTTCGGGTCCAGCATATCTCGCAGGCCATCTCCCGCAAGGTTGACTCCCAATACTGTGATGCTCAGGAACAGGCCCGGGAAACCAATCACCCAGACCGCCACTGAGATTGCTCTGCGCGCCTCTGACATCATCGTGCCCCAGCTGGGCGTCTCAGGGGGCGTTCCCGCGCCCAGGAAACTCAGGATCGCCTCGATCAGAATTGCGTCTGCGCAAACAAACGTTGCAAGCACGATCATGGGGGCGAGTGCGTTAGGCATTATGTGCCTGAACAGAATTCGAGGTGTGCTTGCTCCCAGGCTCGTCGCGGCATCCACGAACATCTCTTCCTTCAGCGTAAGCACCGAGGCCCGCATCACGCGGGCGGCCCTGGGCATGATGACGAAGGACAGCCCGAAGATGACGTTCTGTACGCTGCCGCCGAGAAGCGCCATCAAGGCTATTGCCAGCAGAATGATCGGGATCGCCATAATCCCGTCCATGACTCTCATGACGACTGTGTCTACAATTCGGAAGAAACCGGCCAGCAGTCCGATAACGGTGGCCGCGGCTATGCTAATGGCGGCTACGGAGAAGCCGACCAGGATCGAAATTCGACCGCCGTAAATTGCTCTGGAGTAAACATCGCGGCCTATGAAGTCGGTGCCGAACCAGTGCTCCGCAGACGGAGGCTGAAGGCGGTCGGGCGGCCAGCCCTTGTATGGGTCGGAAGTGAAGAGCAGGGGGGCCACTAACGATATGACCACCATGAATATCACGACGACAATACCTGCGGCCATTGTTGGGTTCCTGCGGGCCTCACGTCCAATCGTTCTGCCAATAACGGCGATACGTGATCTGCCGCCAGGCTGTGCAAGTTCTGTCTGGATACTGGTCTGCTGTCTCGACATCAGTATCTAATCTTCGGGTCAAAAAGCGCGTATGAGGCGTCGATAATCAGGTTGACCAGGACGAAGATTACCGCTGTGACCAGAATCGCGCCCTGTATTATCGGGTAGTCCCGCTTGACTATCCCGTCCACCATTAACCTGCCGAATCCTGGAATCGCGAACACCTGCTCGATCACCACCACACCAGAAAGAAGCCCAGCGAGTCCTAGCCCGATAACCGTGATTATCGGCAGTGCGGCGTTCTTGAGCGCGTGGCGTATGAGCACCGTGTTTTCGCTTAGACCCTTTGCCCGTGCAGTACGCACGTAGTCCTCTCTAAGGACCTCCAGCACGCTGGATCTCGTCATTCTGGTAATGAGAGCCATCACGATGAGCCCGGCCGCGAACGATGGCAAAATCAGGTGCTTGATGAACGTAAAGAAATCTTCGCTTGGAGGCATATAGCCTCCCGCCGGGAGGATCGGGAACTTCAGAGCAAATACCCAGATTACAATGAAGCCGAGGAAGAAGCCCGGAATCGCAAAGCTCAGCGACGCGAACAACATTATGGCGCGATCGAACAGGCTGCCCTGTCTCCACGCGGCGATGGTTCCCAGTGGAACACCCAGGCCGATCGCCACTACCTCGATCAGGAACGCAAGCGAAACGGTTGGTATCGCCCTCTGGGCTAGCAAGCCTGTCACCGGCTTATTGCTGAAGACCGAGTTCCCGAGATCACCCTGAATTAGATTGCGCAGCCAGTAGCCAAGCTGCACTGGAATCGGCCTGTCGAAACCCATCCTCGCGCGAATCTTCGCGATATCGTCCGGTGAAGTGTTCTCGTTGGACAGAAGGTCCGCGGGGTCTCCAGGTGCGATCTGAAGCAGGACGAACACGAACACGGCCACGATCAGCATCACGGGAATGGTCGCGAGTAAGCGCCTTAGAATGTAGCCCTGCATGATTTACCCAGATGATAAAGGCGACGCCGCTCGACGCAGACGGTTGTCACGCAGAGCGGCGTGTTTAGATCAGTTTGCCTGTAGCGGATACGCCCTACTTGTCGAGCCACACGTTTGTGTAGATTGGGAATGCCTTGACATCGAAGTCCTTAACATAGTTGCGTGCGGGGAAGATCGAGAACCATTCTCCCAGGTATATGAGAGGAACGTTCTCGTACCAGTACGCCTGGATCTCCTCCACCTTGGCCATGGCCTCTTCATGTGTTGTGGCCTTTGCATACTCGATGATCATTCGCTTGTAGTTCTCGTCGTTGGGCCTGTCGATGCGGTACGCAGGGTCTTCAGGATCGCCGGGCCATAGGAAGCCATTCGTATGGGGTCTCCACTTTCAGACCAGTGGGCGTTCCACGTCGTAAACAGGGCATACTCCCGTTTTCTAGCGTTGGCAATCATGGTAGCCCAGTCCTGTGCGGGCATATCGACGACAAACCCGATCTCTTCGAGCATGGGCTTCAAGGCTAGGCCGATCGGTGTGATTGTCGCATAATCTGTGGGGTTGAAAAGCTGGATAGGCTCCCCGTCGTAGCCAGACTCCTTGAGAAGTCGCTTGGCCTTTTCGAGGTCTACCTCGTAGTAGACGTCCTCGCCGACGAAGGTCTCTAGGGGGGTGTTGCAGTGATATAGCGCTGCGCACATATTCCACAGCGCCGGATCACCCATTGCCGACATGATCGCTTCGATGTCGAGGCCTGCGTACAGAGCCTGTCTGGCCTTTACGTTGTCGAAGGGATGTACGTTGTGGTTGATGTTTATGCCTGACCTGTGTCCCGGCTTGTAGATTGGTACGTAGATGTCGCTGTTATTCGTCGCCCGCTGGTAGAAGTCCAGTGATGCGCCGTCAACGATGTCCCACTGGCCGGACTCCAGTCCTGCCATCTTTGTCTCTTCGTCCGGTATCTCCAGCCAGACGATCTCGTCCAGATAGGCATTATGCACATCGGCAAGATAGCTTCCGGGAGTACTTATTGCTTTGTAGTCAGGGAAGCGTTCAAGGATGATTTTGTCTCCCTGGTCCCATTGTTTGAACTTGTACGGCCCGGAACCCAGGAACTCAGGAGTCGCCTCCTGTGCGACGGTTGCCGCCATCTCCGATGGGATTATGGGTCCGCCTCCCCACGGTGCCGCGAATGTCGTTGGGACCTGCCCGAAGGGTTCTCGCAGCTTGAGCTTGAAGCTGTGGCTGTCCACCTTCTCAAACGCCGGGTCCTCAGCGAACTCGCTCCTGAGAAGCTTCGGGGCGAAGTGGAAGTTGCTCATCTGCCGGTTCAGCGAGGGAATCACATCGTCGGTGTCCAATGCCGAACCGTCGTGGAACGTGAGACCTTCTCGTACCTTGAACGACCACGCGAGACCGTCAGAGCTGAGATCGAAGGTTTCAACCAGCATGGGTTTGGCTTCGAGCTCATTGTTCCACTCAAACAGCCGGTGAGTAAGGTGTACGGCAAGGGCTGCCGTTACGTAGGCTCCGCTGAACACACCATCCAGGGATGGAATGCTCGCTTGGCTCGTAACTCTCAACTGACCCCCGGACTTGGGTCCGGTGGCCGGAGCAGTTGTTGGGGCCGGGGCAGGAGCAATAGTTGCGGCAGGAGCCGGGGCAGCCGCTGCCGTGGGAGCTGGCGCAGCCGCGGGGGCCGGTTCATCCGAGGTGCAAGCTGCCAGAGCTAAGATCACTATTCCAGAGAGAATCAAACCAACGAACGCTTTCATTATATGTTTCCACTCCTCCTCGATTTGTCGGCATGTACCTGACTAGTGTGACATGTAAGTGACCTTCGACTCCAGTCAACCGGTACTTTCACGGCGGCGCGTATTGTAACCCGTTGCGGTTCACTTGTAAAAGGATTCGCGAAATGTCATTACCTAATCGTGGATAGGGAAAGCGGGACTTTCAATGTGCCATACGTTCCCGGAGATTCTCTACATCCGAGGTTAGACGTGTTCGGCGAGGCGCTACATTGCATCAATCGATTCTGGAATCGTCTGTCCGCCGTCTACGACAAGCGTTTGACCGGTAATGTACTTGGCCTCGTGCGAAGCCAGGAACAGCATCGCGTAGGCTACGTCCTCAGGGTCCCCGAGTTTGCCTAGAGGGATGGCCTGCTCCATTCTGCTCAGGTATTCTTCTCCGAGTTCGTCTAGCCCCTCGGACATCACGTTACCGGGCATCACGGCGTTGATCGTGATGTTACTTCTGGCGAGTTCCACCGCCGCAGTGCGCATGAAACCGAGCATTCCTGCCTTTGTCGCGCCGTAGTGAGACCACCCGGTGTACCCGGTTATAGGACCGGTTATTGAAGACATCAGAAGAACTCGTCCCTGGTCGCTCTTCTTGATTTCAGGAAGACACGCCTGCACACATAGGAATGCCCCCTTGAGATTGACTGAGTTGACCAGGTCCCACTCTGCTTCCGACATCTCCTCCAAGGGCGCCGACGGGAAGATGCCGGCATTGCAGCACAGCACGTCGATCCCGCCATAACGCTCAATCGCCGCCTGAGCCATTCCTTTGACTTCGACGCTGTTTGCTACGTCGGCCCGGAAGAAAGATGCCGTACCGCCCGAGTCTCTAATTTCCTGGACGGTCTCGTTGCCGGCGTCTTCACCTCTTGCGACGATCAGGACTTTGGCTCCTTCGCGGGCAAATACCTGGGCGATGCCACGCCCGAGACCCTTGCTCCCGCCGGTGACAATTACGGATCTGTTGTTCATTCGCGTTCCCACTGTCTGCCTCCCGTGGTGTTCAACTTGCCATCTCTTCCGGACCTCTGCGGACAGAGATAATCGAGGTCTGGACGGTAGTCTATCTGACCAGTCCCCGGGTGGCCATATGGGTGACGAGTCCGAGTCGGCGAGCGGCAGAGACGCGAAGCACTGAGCTTCTGGAACACCAAGTTCTCTTCGCGCTGGCCGCCCGTGCTAAACTTAGTCCATATTGAATTCAACGCTCCCGCATGTGGCCGACGCCCGCAAGCGCCGACTGATTCTCCTTACCATTGCCGCAGGCACTTTTGTATCTGTGCTCGACCAGACCGGAGTCAGCCTGGCGCTCCCCCTTATGGCTAGTGAATTCGATGCGACGATCCCGTTGGTACAATGGGTCGCGCTTGGATACATGCTCACCACCGGCTCGTTGCTTCTTCCCGCTGGAAGACTGTCTGACATGGTCGGCCGGAAAGTGGTATACGTCGCTGGATTCTGCGTCTTCGTCATCGGAGCCGTGTGTGCTGCGTCGTCTCCAAACCTGATGGCAATAATCGCATTCAGGATCGTTCAGGGTGCCGGATCAGCGATGATACAGGCCAATGGAATGGCGATACTGACTACAACCTTTCCTGCCCAGCAGCGGGGACAAGTAATCGGAATGTTTATGACGATGGTGGGTCTCGGCGCGATTATGGGGCCGATCCTCGCTGGCGTTGTGGTCGAAACATTCGGCTGGAGATCCGTATTCATGGCGAGCGTTCCCCTGGGCGGAGTTTCACTTGTTGCAGCCATGGCCGTGCTGATTAGAGACACCCCCAGCATCAGGAGCGTTCGGCAACTCGTGGCGCGGTTCGATTGGGCGGGAGCGGTAGTCTCGGCCAGCGGCCTCGCCGTTTTCCTTCTCGTCTTAACTGAATGCCTATAGACTTGGTTGGACTTCGCCCGCAGTAGTTACGGCCCTCTTTGCGAGCGTCGGATTGCTCGTTGCGTTCGTGTACTGGGAACGTCGAGCGTCCCAGCCTATGCTGGACCTCGAGCTGTTCCGGCGTCGCATCTTTGCCCTGGGTACTTCAGCCAGCTTCTTCGGATTTCTGGCCGGCACTTCGGTATTCAGCATGATGCCTTTCTACCTGCAGGACGTGCTGGACCTGTCACCACGGGTGGCGGGACTTTATATCGCCCCCGCAGCGCTGGGATTCGCGCTCGCCGGCCCACTCGCTGGACGCCTTGCGGACAAATTGGGGCCACGGCGAGTCGAATTCGCTGGCCTGGGAATGCTGGGGGTGTCGCTCATCTTCCTGGGTAGCCTGACGGTGAATACCAGTCCGGAGGTGGTTGCAGTGGCTATGGCGCTACAGGGGCTGGGAATGGGCGTGTTCTACACCCCGAATACAGCTTCCGTGCTTAGCGTCGTAGAGAGGTCCAAGTTCGGAGTCGCTACCGCGTTTCTCAACATGACGAGAAACACTGCAAACGTGGCTGGAATTGGGTTGGCGACGACAATTGTAACCGTGGCAATGGCGTCGAAGGGTTTCGAGCCAAGCCTCGACGCAGTCGCTGCCGGTGTCGGCGGTGTCGAAGTCGCCTTCACTCAGGGGCTCAGAATTGCCTTCCTGGTGCTGGGTGCATTCATCGGTGTGTCTATAGTCTTAACCGCCCTCAAGCGCACTGCACGACGGGAGGCAGACTTGAGCGACGCTGCGGTCGGCGAGCCGGAAGTCCAAGTTGGCGGAGACTGATCTTGGCGTCTCGTGACCTCCTGCCCATCAGAAGGATCGTCCAGAGCCCAAACTACCACTGGTGGGCGTATGGCGCAGTTGCCATAGGCATGCTAATCAACGTAATGGACCAGTCGGGCATTAATATCGCGCTGCCTGAAATCGCTAACGAATTCGCAGCCGACATCCCGACGGTACAGTGGATTTCCTTGGGCTATACGCTTGCTACCAGTGCGATGCTGATGCCGATGGGGCGACTGTCCGACATAATAGGCCGCAAACGAGTGTACCTGTGCGGGTTTACCTTCCTTGTCGTACTGTCAGTTGTGGGTGGGCTGTCACAGACCCTCGGTGTGCTGATCGCAGTCAAGGTTGTCCAGGGTCTGGCTTCTGCCGGTGTACAGGCCAACAGCATGGCGTTTATCACGGAGGTGTTCCCTGACAATCAGCGCGGGAAGGCCATGGGCATGTACATGGCGGTCATAGGTAGCGGGGCCATTATGGGCCCGACTGTCGGTGGTGTGCTGGTCACTGAATTTGGTTGGAGGTCGATCTTCTTTGCGGGAGTTCCAGTGTCCATTCTGGCGATGACTGCGGCCGGACTGGTGCTCAAAGGAAGGACTGCAACGCAGAGGGTCGGAGGAGTTGGCTCTTCGTTCGATTGGGGGGGAGCCGCATTGTCATCCGGAGCGCTTGTTGTGTTCCTGTTGGCCATGACAAACGGTTGGAAGTTCGGATGGACCTCGGTGCCGATACTCGCTGGGTTCCTGACATCTCTGTTCCTTCTGGTGGGATTCATCGTTTGGGAGCACAGGGCCCGGGAGCCGATGCTCGATCTGTCTTTGTTCAGTAACCGAGTGTTTTCTATGGCCATCGGAGCCAGATTTGTATCTTTCCTCGGCGGCTCCGCCGTCTTCTTCCTGATGCCGTTCTATCTGATACAGGTATTGGGCTACGAGGCGCGAGATGCAGCTCCGCTCCTGGTGACGGGGGCAGTGGGAATGATGGTTCTAGGCCCTCTCAGCGGAAGGCTCTCAGACAGATTCGGAACACGGTGGCCCGCCACATTGGGAATGGTCTCATCTGCAGCCGCCATGTTTACACTGTCCACCGTAGGAATTAACTCTCCACCATGGCACATTGTTATCGGGATGGTCCTGTCTGGCGTGGGGATGGGGACTTTCAGTTCACCGAATACGAGCGCGATCATGGGCTCACTGCCTAGAGACAAGTTCGGTGTGGTATCTGGCTTCGTTAATCTGGCCCGCACGTCAGCAAACGTGTCGGGCGTCGCCTTGGCGACGACCTTGGTTGCGGTAACTATGGCATCTCAGGGTTTCGAGCCTAATCTGTCGGCGGTCTCGGAGGCTGGTGGAGACGGAATTAGGTTGGCATTCGTCGAAGGCTTGAGTACTGCGCTCAGGGTCTCCGGAGCGATGATGGTGCTTGCCCTCGTACTGACGGTGGTCAGACCGGATCCACGTACCAGCCAAACTGCCCAGTCCGAGTCCTGCGAGCCAGACCGCAGCCGGCGGCGACTGAAGGCTAATTCAGCGGCCGATTCCCCTTTTCGCCCTGGCGAAACGCCGTACTAGCTCTTCCGCCTCAGGGTTATCCCACTCAGGGTAGGAGACGATAATGTCGTCGCCTTGTAATACCGGGAATATGATCGTGGTGTTAGGTGCCGGCCTGAACAGGCTGTTAAGGACGAGATAAAGTCCGATTACTGCGGCCAGCGATCCAGCCAGAAATAAGCCAGCCTCGATTTGCTGGTTGAGGCCGAACTGCATCTGGATTAAGACCTCGACGACAATTATGGCCAGTCCTCCGAACATAAGCCTAAGTCCGAGGCCCTTCCTACCGTACCGGCCGCCGTTGAACTTGTTGGGCGGACCGACCTCGCTGAGATTGATCCCGGTGTATTTTCCAACTGGCGAGGAATCGAGGTTCCCTATCAGTCTTCTGCTCGTGACGATGACCTGGTCGTCCTGAAACCGGATCTCCTCGTCGCTCAGCAACTCAATCTGGGGCTGCATAGTGGCAATCCTCTCGGATAATAGCGTCGGCACCATTATAACTGAGACTCGGCTGCCAGCGTCTCTCCACCGCCGGAGTTCTCAACAGGGTACGGCGATGGCAAAGAGTTTAGTTTCCCCTATTGCCGGAAACGATGATCTGCTCTCGTGTCGCTTAAGACGGAGGCCAACGCCTGGGCAGAGCCGATCGGATACACTCGCACGTCCTCGTCAATCTCCCCTATGGATGCAATGACACCGGCACCTTCCTCGATGAGTTCACCCAGCGTCGGCCGCCTGCACAGGCTACGGACCACCTGGTCCGGCGTTAACGCTATCACTGCCTGCACCTCTTCTGTTTCCAAGCTAAAGGTTGGATCGAGAAGAGTCGCCTGGTAGATGGCGATGTAGTACGTCCTTTGTGAGTCGTCGGTATGGGCTGAGTTAGCCATCAAGTACAAGGCAAAAGGTCGAGGCTGATCTGCTAACTCCAGTCGAGACTCGACTCCATCGGCAGTGATCAACCATGTCTCACGGCAGTCTACCAAATGTACATCGGCTCCAATCTCCTCGAGGGCTTCCCGGCGAGCACATGTCGGGAAGTCCTCGCAGGATAACCTGTGCCCGCCAATCCCCATGTAGAAAAGCTCCCCTGGAGGGCAATCGAACTTCGTGCCTGCCAGTGCGAACAACAGTCTGCCGTCGTCGTCAGTCAGGGCCAGAGATGCGCCGCATTCGGCGGCTGAGGGTATGAAATCTTCCAGCGGTTGGGAATTGCGGGGCAATCCGGGACGCAACCTCCATCGAGTGTTCGTTGGTTGTCACTGTACAACATCGTATTTCTTCCCGTTACCGACGGCAGCCGATCAGGCAGAAAATTCCTACCGATGGCGCAAGTACACAAACACGCCTCCGCCTGTAGCGAGAATCGCCCACACCGTAATAGAAAGCATTAACCATGCAGGGACGCTTCCGCTGTCAGCGGATGCGATCAGGGGTGCCGGCGTTGCAACTGGCGTGGGTGACACGGGTGTAATTCCTCTTACGACTGCCGGAGTGTGAGTTGGAATTGGAGTAGCCAGTTGCGCAGGTGTCGATGTGGGACTTGGCGTAAGGGTTACGCTTGGCACTGGTGTAGGCGTCTCGGTAGGCGTGTACGTGGGACTCGGGACCGGCGCAGGCGTCGGAGTTAAGGTGTGAACAGGGGTGGGCGTCAGGGTAGGCGTAGTCGTGGGTGTCGCGGTTGGTGTGACTTTGAGCGTCGGAGTCGGTA